CGCCTTAGCCACTTGAGCCACAGGCGCTGAGCCAACCTCAAACTCTTGAACTTAAGCGAATCTCTTGCCTCAGCCTACCAAGTAGCTGGAACTATAGGTGGCCTCCACAATACCCGGCTTTCTTTTTTTTTTTGGTCATAGTTGTCATTGTTGTTTGGCTGGCCTGGGTTGGGTTCAAACCCTCTAGCTCCAGTGTATATGGCATGGCTGGAACCCTAGCTACTGAGCTACAGGTGCCGAGCCTCTACCACAGAATTTTTAAAAATTATCTAGACATGGTGGTGCATGTCTGTAGTTCCAGCTACTTGAAAGGCTGAGTCAGGAGGATTGCTTGAGCCCAGGAGTTTGAGGCTATAGTGAACTGTGATCACATATACCACTGCATTACATCCTGGAAACCCTGTTTCTTTTCTTTTCTTTTGCAATTTTTGGCAAGGCCTGGGTTTGAACCCACCACCTCTGGCATATGGGGCCGGGACCCTACTCCTTTGAGCCACAGGTGCCACCTAGCCTGTCTCTTAAAAAACAAAAAACAAACAAAAAAACCCTTCCCATAAAACACTGAAACAGAGTTAAAAAGGGGCAACTCACAGAATAGGAGAAAATATTTGCAAATCTGGCCGGGCACCCATAGTACAGTGGTTATGGTGCCAGCCACATACACCGAGGCTGGCGGGTTCAAAATCAGCCTGGGCCAGCTAAACAACAACAACAACTGTGACAAAAAATAGATGAGCATTGTGGTGGGCACCTGTAGTCCCAACTACTTGGAAGGCTGAGGCAAGAGAATCGCTTAAGCCCAAGAGTTTGAGGTTGCTGTGAGCTGTGATGCTATAGCACTCTACTGAGGGCGACATAGTGACACTCTATATTAAAAAAAAAAAAATTTGCAAATCATATTTCTGATCAGAGTTTATTTTCCAGAATATACAGAGAACTCCTAAAACTCAACAACAAAAAAACAGATACTTGATTAAAAAATGGGCTAAGAGCCAGGCACAGTGGTTCTCACCTGTAATCCCACCACTCTGGGAACCCAAGGTGGGTAGATTGCTAGAGCTCAGGAGTTCAAGACTACCATGAGCAAGAGCCAGACTCCTGTCTCTACTAAAAATAGAAAAACCAGTGAAGGGCCAGGCTCGGGGGCTCATGCCTGTAATCTTAGCACTCTGGAAGTCCAAGGCTGGTGGATTATCTGAGCACACAGGTTAGAGACCAGCCTGAGTCAGAGAGAGACCCCATCTCTAAAAATAGTCATGTGTTGTGGAGGACACCTATAGTCCCAGCTACTTGGGAGGCTGAGGCAAGAGAATCGCTTGAGCCCAAGAGTTTTTTGGTTGCTGTGAGCTATGGTGCCATGGCACTCTGCCAAGGGTGACAAAGTAAGACTCTGTCTCAAAAATATAAAAATAAAAAAGAGAAAGAAAGAAGGA